AATTAATTTATATTCAATGTAATCAGCTTGTATGTGACAATACGATAGTTAAGATTAATGAAAATATGAAAGCGTATCACTGTTTATCATTTTTTTTTTTTTTTTTTTTTTTTTTGAGCATTGGGGTAGGAAAACATGATTCGAACTTGAATCAATTGTGAGATTATTACATAAATTTGAAAATTAGAAGAAATAAATTAATAAATCATATACATTAAAGCACAAAATTTTTCCTCTTTTCTATGAAAGTTACCAAAATAACATGTAGTTACTCTTTTATATTCTAAAAAGCATGTACTCAATAGTTCTTTTTATAATACATATAGAATTAATGACAGTAGAAAAATAGTTCAACTAACTCAAAAATGTTTAGTTGAAAAAAAAAAAAAAAAGGAATAATAATGAAGGTCTTTTCCAGCTTTACCACTAAAAGTTCACTACATGGAGCTATCCTATTTGGTAATGGGATTAAAAAAATGAGAGTTTTTTTTAAAGATAATCTTTGAATATGCATTTTTTCTATTATTGTTATAAAAAAATATCAAATAATTAACAATTTACTATTTCTAATTATATTTATTCACTCGTGCGTGAAGCAAGATATTACGACTAGTTCTATGATCACCGAGAGATTTAAATATCTCTTTATATATTAATTGAAGTAATCATATCTACCTAGAAGAATTATTTATCCAAATAATAAAAATGTAAATTTTATGGTTAAAATAGGTCGATTAAATCAAAGGCGGATCTAGAGTCTTAAAAGATGAATAACTTAATTTTTTTTTTAAAAAAAATTTATATAATTTATATATTATATATATATATATATATATATATACATATATATATATATATATATATATATATATATATTATATATATATAATATAAAAAAATTTAAAAATCCTCAAATTTTAAATTTTACTTATTTAACCCCTCTTTGTTTTAATATATAATATAAAAAAAATTAAAATCCTCAAATTTAATACTTATTTAACCCTCTTTGTTTTAAAATTTATATATTAACCTCTGAAAAAAATTTACTACTTCCGATACTCGACTAAAGTAATGATAATACTAAACTCAGATCCTTTGACCTCCTTTGACTTGTTTCAATCTTCTGGTCTAATTTCTATTGCTCCGTTCGGATTAGCTTCAAATCGGATTTGAGCATGCAATTATACCTTTGAAAAACTTAAGAGTGTAATTTCTAATGCCTCTCCGAATTATCCCAAAACACTATCAATAGTTCCAGTTAAAAGTCATTTTTAACCTTTCTAGTTTTAGTTCAGATTCTTGATTAATCAATTATAGGTTTCAACCGCACTTCTTATAATTGCTTTGTAGTTATATGAGAATGTAAATACGTATTCACACTCACGTATAATTTATATATAATATGTATTAATTTATTTTACATGAATATTGAACAAATAAATATATAATTTATTTAATTAATATGAAATTATACTTTAATTACTATCTAATATAAACTAATCTCATAATTTACGATCCAACATAAATTATTATTCAATGCAAAGAAAATTTCCATTCAAAAATTAAATTAAATTATTTACCATTTAAAAGTTCCAACACATGTGTGTGAGATGATTTGGTTCGATTTTAGTGATTTTAACTCAAAAATCATAAACTGAACCAAATTTTCAATTAAGTTCTATAAATCAAACCAAATCATCAATCTTTTAAATCTGTGATTTTGATTGGTTTGGACAATATCTCTAGTGTGTATTGCACACGTTTTCTCAGCTTTGGTAAGGAGCATAATTATATTAAAAACAAAAAAATTTGTGGTGTAACAGAACACCCTTAAAGTTGGACATGCCACAAGGTTTTTTATTTTTTTAAATCAAGGAACAATTTAATTATGTATTTTTCATTAATATAATTAAATCAATGCAACTGATTGCATGTTATAATTTCTCACTGCTGCACAGACTTGTTTTATTTTGTTTGTGTTCATCTTTTGTGGAAAACGGGAAAAATTAGTCTAATTCATCGAATTTTACCCATTAGGCCATTCGACTTTTATTTATTAATATTGAACCCTTTCATTTTTCTATCTTTATTTATTAATATGGAAATGTAAAATTACTATTCAACGAGATCAGATCATCTTTAGCTAAAAGAAAGAAGAAAGACAAAAGAATGATAGAAATTTTTTTATTTATGACTTTAAAAAAGAAAAATTGGCATTATTTAATTTTTATTTACTTTTATTTTGATTTTCAAATGAAAATATGAGATTTTCATTTATCACATTATTATCATAAGTTTTCTTTTTTCTTTTTTTTTTTTACTATTTAGCAAGTTGAATTTATGTTTTCTCTTAATTAAATAAGGACTTTAAAAAAAAAAAAAAATTGAAAGGCCACATCTCCACATGTAAAAGTTCAAAGCTAAACACGCAAAACTGGATAAATTTAAAGGTTTAAATATGTGTTTTGCCAAAAAAATTACTTATTAATCCTTAAAAAATGGAAAATAGAAGACAAATAGCACATATATATAGGTAAAATCGCATTTTTGTCCCTATATTTAGACGTAATCAAATACTTTATCCTTGTAGTTTGAATCTATTAAATGAAATTATTATTCTGTTTTAAGTCGTTAAATGTTGGTGCAATTACAGGACTAACCCTATATTTTAAGTCGTTAAATGTTGGTGCAATTACAGGACTAAACCCTATATATATAATATATATATATATATATATATATATATATATATGAATTAAAAGGACAACAATTATATTTTTCTCCGCCTATATTTTTTGACATAATTAACTATTTTTGCCCATTGCATTTAAACATATATATGAATTAAAAGGACAACAATTATATTTTTCTCCCTATATTTTGACATAATTAACTATTTTGCCATTGCATTTTAAAAATTACACTATTTTATCCTTGGAGTTTGGATGCATTAACAACTTAAATCTCAAAAAATAGAGGAAAGGGTCATTTTGTTTGACAAGGACAAATTTCAACAATAAAATAGTGTAATTTTTAAAATACAAAGACAAAATAGTTAATTACATCAAAATATGGGGATAAACTCATATCTTTCCCTTGTTTATGTTAAGGTTTGGATAAATATTTCCTTATTTTTGTCTAATATAATTGTTACTTTTTGTTTTTAAGTATGGAAAAATTATTGTTAAAATATATTTAATTTATTGTTTGATGTTTTTTTTTTTAAAAAATTGAATACATAAATTCAATTTCTTATTTTTCTCAAAAAATTTTAAGTTAACTTTAACTTTCACTTTGACTTATTGAAATTTTCAACTTAAAATATTATACCTATTAAATGCTTCAATTGACTTATTAAACACCTCAATATATAAATTTAGATCAATCATACGCTTATTAAATAGTTGAACGATGTGAAAATTATTATTTTAAAAGTTATAATAATTTATATCGAATGAATATTTTATCTATAAAAATTAAAAATTTTAAGGATTATTATTGTTAACTGACTTGAAATTATTATAAAAAATTAAATTCGGTCCATTAAAAAAAAATTATTAAACTTTATGGGTTCAACCAAAAAAACAAGTGGTTGTGATAAGATGAAACAGGGACTCATGATTAAACCCGAGCTTCTAGTTGACCATAATTTTTGACTTCCTAACAAAAAAATAATCTCCACCGCCATGTATACAGATGGAAAAATGTACTTACCTGATTTTCAGGGATACCGAGCCAAACAAATAATTAAATTTCGAAGAGGGGATGACGACTGATGACTTTTATGATAAGAGATTTGCCAATGTTGAATGCCACACATGTGCTTGAAGAGCAAAATATAAATAAACATACATTCGTGATCACTATCTTGTAATTACCTCATTCATCATTGTTGACTACTGCTAATTAAATATTTTAATATTTTCGATATTATGATCAAAAGTTAAGAAATAAGTAGCTTAGAATCTATTTTCTAAAAAATATATTTTTTATTTTAAAAATAATTTTCAAAATTTTTTCGAAATTGTAGCAATTTTATAAACATGTGCTAAATCCTCATATACATTCTCCACAATGGACCTGGGATCCAAAAGAATCTGTGTATTCTGTGGTGATGATTGTGAATGGAAAACTCATACAGTATAAGTTAAAAAATATTTTTTATTGGTTAAACAAAAAATAGATAAGACGCATAGATCAGAGACATGATATATCCCTTCATGTAAAAAACCATAATATATGAACACATGCTAACCTGTACCTATGTAATTTACATATTCTATAATCAACGTGAGATTTAAAATATCACTTTATATATTAATTGAAGTAATTAATATCTACCTGGAAGAATTATTTATCCGAATAATAAAATGTAAATTTTATGATTAAAATAGGTCGATTAAATCAAAGGTGGAAAAAGATGAATCAATTAATCTCTCTTTTTTTATAAAAAAAAATATACATATATAAATTAAAATCCTCAAATTTAATTTACTAATTATTTAAACCTCTTTATTTTAAAATTTATAAATTAACATCCAAAAAAATTTTCTACTTCCGATACTCCACTATAATAGTGATATTACTGCATAGAAAAAATATAATTAGACTGGGTCCATGATTCCACCTATGAACCAAACCAATGAAAAAAATGGTATTTCTAGCTCCATTTAGAAAACCAAGGAGTTAAACACGTTACTCTCAATTTTTCATCAGGTTAGAAATCTAAACCATAGAAATGGGGTGTGGATTTTCTAATATTGCAGAATGTGAGGACTGATCTTTTGAGATCTCATACTGTTTATAGAATGTGCGAAATATATTGGTTAGCATATTCCTATCTTAAAAGAAAAGAAAAAGCTTATGGTGCTGATTATTTTGATGGCATACCATATCACATGTATATGAACACAAGTTCCGCTTGATAATATCTAGCTAGCTATATATATATATATATATATCAAACTATTATAGATTTGAATTTTGGACAGATCTTAGAAACAAACATGGAAATCACAAGCTACTCATTTTCATGGGTTTTCTTTTCCTTGTTATTATCTTTAATCCTTTATACTATTTTCTTGAACTATAATAGCCAAAGTAAAAGAAAACTCCCACCAGGCAAAATGGGATTTCCTTGGATTGGAGAAACAATGGAGTTTTTCAAATCACAACGCAAGAACCGATTGTTCGAGGACTTTGTCGAGCCTCGGATTACAAAATATGGCAAAATATTCAAAACAAGGCTAATGGGTTGGCCAACAATTGTAGTAAATGGCGCTGAAGCTAACAAGTTTTTCTTGGCCAATGAATTCAAGGTCGTAGTAAGTTCATGGCCAAGCACTTCAGTTGAACTAATGGGTAAGAACTCCATCATGGAAAAACAAGGAGATAGGCATCGATGTCTACGTGGGTTCATAGCCTCTAGCCTTAACAGTGCAGGGCTAGAGGCTTTAGTCCCAAAAATATGCAATTCAGTCGAGTTGCACTTACAGAAATATTGGAACAATAACAAGAATAGCATAAACACGATCAGTCTCTACAATTCTACCAAAGTTTTGACATTTACTATAGTTTTTGAGTGCTTGTTAGGTATAAAAGCTAACTCTGGAATTTTCACTACTTTTGAGAAAATTTTGGATGGTGTTTTTGCACTGGCGTTGTCATTTCCTGGGTTTAGGTTTTATAAAGCGAAGAAGGCAAGAAAGGCAGTAGAGAAGTTTTTGGTTGAAGTAGTAAGAGAGAAGAGGAAGAAAATGGAAGAAGGGTTGGAAAAAGAAGAAGAGGGAATGTTACTCGATCAATTGCTTAGAGGGATGATTCGTGGAGAGATTAGTGAAGAAGAAGTTATTGATAATGTCGTTTTGTTAGTTTTTGCAGCTCATGATACAACCTCCTTTGCCATTGCTATGACATTCAAGATGTTGGCCCAGCATCCACACTCTCTTTCTCTCCTCCTCCAAGGTATAGTTTAGTTTTCACACATGTATTATAGATAATTTATTTTAAATTTGATTTTGAGAAAAATATATCCTTTTTCATTATCCAACTTTAAGCATAATATTTTGAGTATTTAATCATGATTACAATGCAAATCAGATTACAATGCCAATTAATAATATAATTTGATTAATTTGTTTATTTTTTAATAATATAGAAAGCAGAAATCTCATATTTACAATAATTTTTCCAGCCCCAAAACATTATTATATATAATAAAATATTTAAATAATAATTTTCTATCATTTTTATAAAATATTTATTCATTGCTTTTTTTTGAAAGTATTCAAAGTTGAACATAGTTCCCTGAGCCTATCAAATCGATTGTAAAAGGAATTCAGTTCGATTTAGTTCCTTTTCAATTTTAAATAAAAAAAATTAATTTTTTTATTTGATACGAGTTTTAAAGCTGAAAAAATAATATTAAATTTGCTCAAAAATAACTAAAAGTCAATCAAATGATATTAATTTATTCAATTTGTACCGAATTAACTTAAATTAACATTTATCATTTTCCTTCTCTTAAATAATAGTATTAATTATTCTGGTCAGAGCACATTGAGATAATGAAGCAAAAAAAACCTCTCGAGAGAATAACATTAGAAGACACAAAAAAGATGAAGTATACATGGCAAGTAGCACGTGAAAGCATGAGACTTTTCCCTCCCATTTTTGGCTCCTTCAGAAAAGCAATTACAGACATTAACTATGGAGGTTTTACAATTCCCAGAGGATGGAAAGTGTTATGGACAACACATGGGACACACTACAACCAACAGTATTTTGAGGATCCACTGAGTTTCAATCCAAGTAGATTTGAAGAGGAAATTCCACCTTATGTCTATCTTCCTTTCGGAGGAGGACCAAGACTTTGTGCAGGATACCAATTGGCTAAGCTTAATATCCTAATTTTTGTGCATTATGCGGTAACTGGTTATGAATGGTCATTAATATACCCTGATGAGCAAATTACTATGGATCCTCTTCCATTCCCTGCACATGGAATGCCTATCAGAGTTTCTTCCAAGTATAGAGAGAGATGTGATTAATTTACCAAGAATTTATGTTATTAAAATGATTTATTTTAATATAAACTTCATGTTTGTAGTAGGAACTATTTATTTTCATAAGTAACGACTTTTATTTATTTATTTATTTGTATAATTGCTTTCATAATAGTGGGAACAAATTGATATAATACTTTTTCTAATAAAAAAAAAATGATAATAATGTTTTACTATCTCATTTGCTGCGGGACTGTGTAACTGCTAAAGCCATATGGCGTAAGTTTGTTCCAGAAGAAACAGGCAGCGAGTTCTTTGACCCTTCTTCCATCAGTTTCGAAGCTTGGTTTCAGCGGAATTTGCGTTATAATACTGTCATGATGGGAGTACCTTGGACTGTGTTTTTTGGTATTTTTTTTCTGGAAAATTTTGCTCCTTCTTTGGCTATGCCTCACTTGACCTCAGCCAATACGGTTATGCTCACATGGTCTCCTCCCCCTTCAGGCGGGTGTAAGCTAAATACGGATGGGGCTGTAAAAGGTTTGAATAAGCTAGCGTCGAGCGGTGGTTTAATTAGAGGTTTTTTATAATAGAGAATGACGTGGTGCCCATTTCAGATTTGATTTCATCTCTCTTCTCTCTCCAATATTTCAGTTGCTTCATTATTTATTCTGTTATTATTTGATTGTTTGTATTCTTGATTCTTTTAAACATGTAATCTATTTTATTGAAGATATAATTAGATTTTCTCATGTGTTTAAAGCTCATCTGATCCAATATAAATACAATACAAAATATTGTAGAATATTTTTATCTTTTATGGCATCAGAGCAAATCAATAACTCAAACGAGTAATCGATTCAATTTTTTTTCTTTACTTTCCCTTTTCATGGCCACCCCAAACACAACTAACTATCCTAAACCCAAACACTTCAACTTTTTCAGCAGATTCAACCTCCCAATTAACTCAATTCAACATTGCATCTCAGCTCCCCATCAAACTCATTGGTAGTGCCAATTTGCTACTTGAAAAGCACAAGTCTCGTCTCTCATTATGGACATAATCTATACTTACATCTTGATGGTTCCTATCCAGCTCCGCCAAAATGATCACAAAAAATGCTAGGGGGGTTGCTAATCTATTTTATAAAATCTGGTTTCGCCAAGATCAATTGATTTCTAATGCCTTAATGGCATCAGGTGATCATACTCTTGCCTCTTGCTACAACAACTACTTCCAAAATTGCATGGGATGGGATTCATACATCATTTGTCAATAAATCTCAAACTCGCATATTCAGTATTCATGACTCAAAATGATGAAAGTTGGATTCTTGCTATACAAAAAGAACTAAATCAATTTGAGATAAACCAAGTTTGGAAACTTGTTTTTAGACCTAAAAACAATTCTGTTATTGGAACAAATGGGTGTTTAGAAATAAGCTTGATGAACAAGGTTAACAAAAAGGAACTAAAAAATCAATTTGAAGAATAAACCATAAACCAAGTTTGGAAACTTGTTTTTAGACCTAAAAACAATTCTGTTATTGGAACAAATGGGTGTTTAGAAATAAGCTTGATGAACAAGGTAATGTTATAAGAAACAAAGCAAGATTACTGGCTCAAGGGTATAACCAAGAGGAAGGCATCGATTTTAATGAGACCTTTGCTCCGGTTGCTAGACTTGAGGCCATTAGAATGGTTTATGAATTTGCATGATTTGCATGCTTTAAAAACTTTATGTTATATCAAATGGATGTGAAAAGTGCTTTTCTAAATGGTTTTCTAAATGAAGAAGTGTATGTAGAACAACTACCCGGTTTTTAAGTTTATGATAAACCAAATAATGTTTACAAACTTACTAAAGCTATTTATGGTTTGAAGCAACCTCATAGAGCTTGGTATGAAAAGTTAAGTTTTTATTAGAAAATGGTTTTTTTAGAGGAAAAGTTAATACTACGCTATTTATTAAAAATACAGCACATAATATTCTAGTTGTGCAAATCTATGTTGATAACATAATATTTGGTTCTACTAATGACCTTCTTTCTTTGGTTCTACTAATGACCTTCTTTGTAAGGAATTTTCTAAGATTATGCAGGGTGAGTTTGAAATGAGTATGATGGGAGAATTAAATTTCTTCTTTGGCCTTTAAATCAAACAGTGTGATAATGGAATTTTCATAAACCAAGGCAAGTATACTCGAGAATTGTTGAGAATTGTTAAAAAGGTTCAAAATGGAGAATGCCAAGGTATGTAGCACACCAATGAGCCCATTCTCAAAATTAGAAAAAGATGAAAATGGAAAGGATGTGGATATTAAGCTGTTTAGAAGTATGATTGGTTCTTTACTATATCTATCTGCAAGCAGATTTGACATTCACTTTAGTGTTTGTTTATGTGCTAGATATTCATGTCCTAAAGAATCTCATTTAATTGCTGTTAAAGAATCTCATTTAATTGCTGTAAAAAGAATTCTAAGATATCTTTGTGAAACTTCTAATTTGGGTCTGTGGTATTCTAAAGGTGATACATGTGATCGTGTTGAGTATAGTGATTCTGATTTTGTAGGAAGCATAATACATAGAAAAAGCACATCTGGAACTTGCCAGTTTCTAGGTAGGCCCTTGTATCATGGTTTAATAAGAAATAGATATCTATTGTTCTTTCTACTGTAGAAGCAGAATATATTGCAGGTGGAAGTTGTGTTGCACAAGTTCTGAGGATCAAGCAACAATTGGTAGACTACAGCGTGAAATTAGAAACAGTCCCAATTAAATATGACAACATAAGCGCCATCAACTTATCTAAGAATCCAGTCTAGCATTCTAGAACCAAGCACATAGAACTTAGACATCAATCAACTTCATTCACTTCATATGTGATCATGTTCAAAAAGGTGATATAGTGATTGAGTTTATTCCTACAGAAAAGCAATTGGCAGATATCTTTACTAAACCTTTAATTGAAAGCCAACTATACTTAATTAGAAGAGAACTCAATATGTTAATTCTAAACTCTTAACTTTAAAACTCTGTAAGTATATTCTAAAATGCTTTCTATATTTGAGATTGAAAGACTTACTCTGTGTTATGTTTTAATATTCTATTCTGTGTGAGTTTGAAAAACGTTTTTGTCTAACAGAAATGCATAATGCTTTGATGTGAAATTCTAATATCATCATCAGATTCTATTTTTTAGACAAAATTAAAAACAGTCGATTTCTTTTATTTTATTTTGTTGAGTGTTTATTTTATTTTGTGTTTTTTTTATTTTTATTTTTGTTTTAGTTTTTGGCGGCATTTTTTTCAAATATTTCTTTTCTCAGTTTAACTTTCCTTAAAATCTTTTTTATTCCTTTAAATTTTCTTCTTTATTATAACTTCTCTTTTAAGTGTTTCTTTTCTTCCTAAATTTTATAACTTCTCTAAATTAATCACTTTTCTTCTCTATTAAAACTGTTTTCTCTTCTCTATCCCCTTCTCACAATCGAAACCCTAAACACACTCTGCCTCAACAACCCTAACCATGGCTAGATCAAGTTCTACTTCTTCCTCCTCTGATTCTTTAACAGAATAAGAACTTTAACTTTTTAAGAGATTATTTAAGAAGTACGAAAAGAAAGAATCAGGATAGAAGAAATCCGTTGAGGAATTGAGTTCAATGAAAGAAAAATCGAAAAGTAGAATGGAAAAATCAAAAGGGGAAGAAAAACCGAAGGAACAGGTCTCTGGTTCTTGCAGCAAAGGTAAAGCCATTTTATCTCCCTATCCTCTTATGCGTTCATATGTTATTGACTAGAAGTTCTTTGGAAAAAAAGAATTCAACTTTAGGGAACTATTTGAGTTCCAGGGATGGATGGAGTTTTTGGAGTTCCAGGGATGGATGGAGTTTTTGTCTTTAAATAGACCTTGCTATGAGAGTTTGGTAAAGGAGTTTTATGGCTCTCTCAAAGCCACTAGTTTAGAGACGATTTCTGTAAAAATTGAGGATGAAACCAAAGTGTTATCTTACACTGATTTGAGCGAAATTTTCAGAATACCAAATACTGGGTATAGGGTAATAAAGATTTAAGGATATCTCTAGGGTAGATGGGTATCAAAAGGATTCTTCTTTTCTTCTTGGGTTACAAAATAATATCTTATTTACATATTCTAATTATCTAACTATTACATAATTAAATAAAATAAATAAGAAATTTTACAATACAAAATAAAAGAGAATCAGAGATCGCAGGCCCTATTTAAAAATTACATAAACCATTCAACCAAATATAAAAAGACAATCACATAGGTCTTTGCTAATGTCCATAATCACCCATCATGCATAATAATCATATTAAATGCATTTAAATATTATCTAATATTAATATATATTAATTATTGGTCTCATGTGCTGAAAATAATTCGGTCTCATGTAAATGCATTTAAATATTATCTAATATTAATATATATTAATTATTGGTCTCATGTGCTGAAAATAAAATTTTAACAATTAAAATTTTATTTTTGATATTTTTTAAATTAATTTATGAATAAAACAATTGTATTCATATATCAAATCTTATTAAAACTAACTTTAGAATTTATAAAATTATTTTATAAATCAATTTTACTAATTCTAATCATATTAGAATTAATAAAGAACTTAATTTATTTCCTAATCTAATTAGGAATAAATGCACAAAATAGTTTTATTACAAATTAAAATATTTTAATTTTCTTTTCTAACTATATTAGAAAATATTCTAAAATCAATTTTAATTACTGAAAATTAATTTTAATGACCCTCAAAATTTAATTAATTCCAAATCAATTAAAATATCAAATCAAAATTAATTTCAGGATGTAATTGAAAACAAATTAAAACAGATTTGGATCTAACTGAATAACTGGAAAATAGTCAGGGACCAAAACATACTTTTGTGATCATCTTCTTCACAGAACCGAAAAAAAACGTTCCCGATTGAAACCTAGCGCCGCACCTCCATACCCAGCCACCGACGGCGCCTGCTCGGCTAGGAGATGGTCCAGCTGTGGTCGCACCACCATGGACCGTCCATCTCCGGCCTCGAGCGGCGCTGTCCTCGCCGGAATCCGTTTTTTTTATTTAAACTGAAAAACGCAGAACCCATTCCAGCTTCACCGGGCCATCGCCGGAGCGCTCGCAGGACGCAGTGCTACCGCCCGCGGCTCACGGTTGTCGGCGATCGGTGGATTGCAACCTCTGTTTTC